CCGCCTGTCTACTCCATGGTTTCTAATGTATTTCTTCCGACCGACGTGTAGTGGGCGGGGGATGACTGGGGGGGGCGAAGGCAGATGCACCTTTTGCCCGCACCCTGGCGGCCCTCACGGGGCCCTCTGGGGGTCCCAGAAGGGGCACAAAAGGTGCAGGTTTCGTCGCCCCTTGTCCATCTCCCCCCCTCGGCCCTCCTCCCCCTTCTCCTCCCTTCTCCCCCTTCTCCTCCCCCCAGCCCTCCCCCTTCTCCTCCCCTCAACCCTCCCCCGTCTCCCCTCTCCCCCTTCTCCTCCTCTCAGCCCTCCCTCCCATGCCCTTCCTCCGCTGCCCACCCCCTAATTGCCCCCCCCCTCCCCCCCCCTTCCTCTCTTCCCGTTGCTGCCCCTCCCCCCTTTGCGCTCCATCCCTCCCCCCCCCCTTCCTTCCCCTCCCCCGCTCCTTTTTCGCTCCATCCCTCCCCCTCATTTCCATCCCCTCCTCCTTCCTGCCCCTCCTCCATCCCTTCTCCCCTTCCTTCCCCCCCTCCTCCTCCATCCCCCCCCCTTCCTTCCCCTCACCCGTTCCCCTCGCCTCGCCTCGCCTCGCCTCGCCTCGCCTCCTCGCCTCCCCCTTCGCCTCTGCCTCCTCCGCCCGTGCCAGCATGCAGCGTGCTCCCCAGACGGCGTCCGTGGGCCTCTGCGGCGCGCTGGCGAGCGCTGGGCCCGCCAAGCGGTCCGGCCAGCGCGTGAAGGCCCTGGCGAGCTTGCGCTGGACACCGCGAGCCACCGCGCGGCGAAGCGCGCGCCAGCGCAGCGCAGCGCAGCGCCGCGCGCGCCGCGCAGCGTCCGTCCGCGCCCAACCTGGAAGTCGGGCCTGTCCCTCTACAGGAGGAATAGTCCCAAATAGTCATAAAATAGACGGGGGGCGATTTTTTGCATGTTTTTGTGCCATTTGGGGGCGTGTTCTGACTATGCTTACTTTTTCGTCCAAAACCCCCTGCAGGAGGACAGGCCCGACTTAGCCCAACCTGCGGCCCGCGCGCGTGCAGCGTAGGTGGCGACCGCGGGGCCCCCCTGGCCGGCGGCCGTCCAGGCAAGGCTGGCTCGCGCGCGAGCGGTGGCGATCGTCGGCGCGGCGCCGCGCTGCTTCGGGCCACGAGGGGGGCCAGCGGCCCGCGCACGGGTGGCGTTCGCACAGCGCCGGTGCAGCAAGAACGGCTGCAGCGCGCAGCCGCCGTCGCCCGACGGCCCGTGATCGTTCGCGCGCGAGTTGCGCATCCCGCGCAGCTTCGGCAGTGATGTGGCACGGCTGATAGTTCGAGGCGAGCAGGGTGCTGGGACGAGGCGCGTCTGCCCCTGCACATCCGTCAGCCAGGGGGGGCACGCGGAGCCGCCATCGGGAAGCGGCACCCTACGTGAGGAGGTCGCTTAGGTTCTTCGTGGTGCCTTCGCGCCACTCGGTGATGCTTGACTTTGTTCGTGCCGACGGTGCCCTGCGCGCGCTGGTGTCGGTCTCCCGGGGGGGTCTTTTTGCGCGTGCCTTCCGAGGACCACCTGATAGAGAGCGGCGACCCTCTGGCGTGTAGTAGTTAAGGAATTCGCCTTCTCCGACTTGGCTTTGTGCGACACACGAGCACGCGTCGTCACCTTCTTGTCGGGCGATGCGGCTGCGATCCGTTTCTCGCGACGTGAGAACCGCGACGGCCCTGCAGTGGCGGCGCGGAGCTGCTGGTCTGCGAGTTCGCCAGCGACGTGCGCAGCGCACGCGGCGCGGCAGTTTTCGAAAGCTTCGCGTCGGTTCGCCCACGTTCCCGCATCTGCGGCGGAGTCGTTTCCAGGACGAACGAAGAAGTTGTTGCAGTGCCCGGCAAAGAGCGTGTGGGTGCTTCTGTGAGTGTCTGCATGATATCTAATCAACTTGACGAGAGGTGGTCCTGGGGCCGCCCTCCTCCTCCTCTGCTGGAGCACTGCCGTTCCGACCTCTCGGCACGAACGAAGTGGGTGCGGAAAGAATGGGTACAATGCCCAACAGGAGTTCCTGTTCATTTTGAACCAGACTCGCTGTCCGCGCCGCCGCGGCTGTGTCCGTTTGAGACAGAAGGCCGCCTGCCCAACAGCGGCCGCTGTTGGTTAGGGACAACAGTTGGTGTTGGGCATCGTACCCATTTTTTCCTTACCCCTTTGGGCGTCCAAGACCTCCCTCCTCCTCCTCCTCCTCCTCCTCCTCCTCCTCCTCCTCCTCCTCCTCCTCCTCCTCCTCTGGTGCGCGGCAGGCCGCGCTGTCCTCCTCCTGCGGCGGGGTCGTCTCCATCCCTGCGCTTGCAAAAGCGCGCGCTGCGGGCGGCGGCGCCGCACGCGCGGCCGCACCCCACCGCGGCACGCTCCCCGAGCCCAGCTTTGTCCGCCGAGAGAGCACGCGGAGACGTCGGCATCGGTGCCGCGGCCGCCGTGCTTTCCGACGCGCGTGCCTGTCCCCAGACATAATCGCGTCGTAAAAAATCAGTGCGTGAGGTTTTGG